GATACCTGTGTCAGGGGCTGAAGGCCTGACGTATTTGGTCACGTCAACAAGATAATGTAGAAGAAGAACTTATTGTTAGTTGGTAGGACTAACCTTCAGAAATGAAACTATGTATCATTGGAATTCATCCTGTGAAAGGGGAGTGATAAAGTTGTTGTTGGCATGGAGGTGTGGTCATGTGCCCTTGTGATCTCATCTCATGCGCTGGCCGCATGTGAGATGATGTTGAAACTGGCCACTCCTGAGGGGAGATAAAAGGGTGAAGGAGAGAGGATGACATGATGCACACTGTTTTCATCAGGGGACGCCCTGAAGGTGCGCTGCCCTCCTGCCCCTCCCACTCAGGAGGCGTGTTCTGTCTCCTTCTCCTGCTGCGCAGCTTCTCCAACATCCAGGGGTTGGTATGTATTTATTGCTAACATGACTAATAAAATTGACTTGCTTTGCTATTCTGACTGTGTCTTGAATTTTTTTGTGCACAGGCATTCTCCTGAACCCGTAACAATATTTTCCTGCATCTTTCTTGCCTCCCCCTTTCATTCCTTCTCCTCCAGACCGATTACAGTAGCCTTTTGAGAATTTTAATGATTTTGAATAACCTTTGAATACCCTTGAAACCAACATGATCCTTTTTCTTGGAGCCAGCATGTTATTGCATAGGTTCAGGTCTTGTTTAACATCAGATTCTTAATTAAGAATGCCACCCATACATTTGGCCAAAAGCTGGATAGTGTGGAGTGGAGGAGTGTGTGGGACTGTATGGGCCAGTGTCTAGGGCAGTGGTCTGTGTTTGCACTTTACCCCTAGCAAGTGCATAATCCAGAAAAATTAGTAAAAGTTTTGGCCTTGGAAAAGGTGTTCTGCCACCCTGGCAACCCAGGAGGACCCAAACCCCTGCAATGTGTTGGGGCCTGGCGCAGGCCTGCTGAGCCATGCCCAGCACTGCCCAGTGCCCTCAGGAGGGAAAGAAGGTCTCGGAGTCTGACAGTGAGACACCAGGCCCCGCAGCTGCTCTAGTCACCGTGACAGACACTGTGGTTAGTTCAAGCCTGATGACAAACAGTGCCACTGAAGCAGAGAAACAACATGTGCTGGTGTCACTTGCCCCTGTACACAAGCAGAAGAAATGTATATGAAAGTAACCCTTCAAAATTTAGCAAAAGCAGTCAAGGAGAAAAAGGAGGGTGGAGAGGATGAAGAAGCAGGGCCGTCACAAGGGCCATTTTCAGTGCTGTTACTAAGGCCATCACTTACAGTGATAGTGAATGTGTTTTTTTACATAAATGTGCTGGATTTCATTTTTGAGGAATTTCTTAATACAGCAATAGGTGATTTGATGTGTTAATTAAGGGAGATATGAGGGAGGCAGGATGGCAGTGAAGTAACACCTTTCATTCCTGCATGCATAGCAGCTCTGTTAGTAGGTGATGTCTTGATAAGCTGTAGTGCCAAAAATTATTGTAGCAGTAATTAATCCATTGATTCCTTCATTATCAAATGTGTAAGTTCAATATATGCTATTTTCTTATGTAGAATGGTATAAGAAGTCATCACTAAGATCAAAATCAGAGCACAAAAAATTTACTTTCTAGGGACCTGATTAGAAAGTGTGATGAGCCAGAAAGTTTGTATTGTGGATCTCTGTGTAACTTTGATTTTTCAGGGCCATGGTGTGGGCATAAAATCACTTTCTTATTTCATGGGCTCTCAGTGGAATAATAGTCAGCCTATGAAATAAGCCAATAAAACCTTGCCATTCATCCTTGATGGTTGCTTGATTTTGGCTCATACAGATATTTTTCTTACTGTCCTAGAGCACTGTTCCTGTATGCATTTATATGTATCCATTGATAAAATAAATACCAAAAAATAGAAAAGATGCAAGGTCAAACCTACTTTAAACTCTAGTGAAACTGTATCAAAGCTAAGCTTAGCTATAGCCTGTTGGTTAGCGTGATTTAAAATGTTTTGGTGTAACATGGAAGATTATTGAACTTTTTTTTTGCTGTTTCCTCCTCTATGCACTTGGATTGCCAGCAGCATCAGTGGTAGATTTCATTACACCCAAGCAATGAAATTTCTATTCTTTTTGTATAGTGCTTTCTGTGGACCATGAAATTATTTGCCTGTATGGAATACTGAGAAGTATTAACTTTTCTGAAGCACTATCAATGTATAATTCAAAAGGGAAGTATATGTAGAATATCCACACTCTACTGCTGTGCAAATCTTGTTGTGAATTCCCTTTTATTAATGTATGGGAGCCTTCCTTTTAGACTGCATTGTTTTAAATTATTTAAAGCAATTAGTTTGACACGTTTAAATGTGTTTATAATCCTATTAACTCAATTTGTCTTAAATGTTCTGTCTGATCAAATATATTCCAAGATGTGCTTTCCTCCTCTAGGATGAGTGGTATAGGATTTGGTGAATATCGGGAATGTGAATGTTACAGTGTAATGTATGAGGATGCAAAACATCTACTATATATTCAAGAGAAGCTTAAAACCTGAACATAAACTAAAAACTAAAACTTTTCAAGGAGGAATAGGCCCTTCTCCCTGAATAGGGCCTGTCTGTTTTTAGAGACTTCTGGGACTGAATGCAGTTCTGCCCGGCCAGAACTTCTGTTGTTGCTGCTGTGTGGAGCAGGAGAAGGAAGAGGAGACACTTGGGGAGCACAGGCTATAAAGAAGGGACTGAGAGTTTTCAGGAGATACTGGAAAAGAAATTTAGGGCACAGCTGTCTTAAACCTAATTTGTTGTCTGTTCACTGATTCATGGGCTGAAATCCATTATTTCAGCCAAAGTGTCTTCCCTCTACACCTGTTTCAAGTCTGTATGTGAACCATCTGCAAATACAATGGCTTGTGGTTATGCACTTTATAGTGAAGATATGGGGGCATAGAGAAGCTACTGGCTAACTCATTTTTTGAAGCAGGCATGTTGCCTTTCATCAGTACTCTGTGAAAGACATTGCTTGAAAAGAAAAGTCTCATATAATAGGATTTTTTACAATTCCAATCTAGTCACTTCAGTTTGAAGTCTGGCTTCATCCCCCCATGCTTACCATAGACTTCAGGTTTTAAAAGCAGGAAGGGAAATTGCTTTCCAGTCAAGATGTAAGATCATTTTTGCTACTGATGACTACTACTTCATTTCTAGTAATGTTATCCTCCCTTTTCCTTTTGTTGCATTCTTTGTCTTCCTGGGTCTTGCCTATGTAATTATTCCTGTAGAGTATGCTCTTCCTCATTGCCTGCTGGTCTGATGTGACACAGAGGGGCCCCATCATCCATGCTGAGCTCTTTTATGTGTATGCTATATTAATTTTCTGCTTTTGCATGTTCTACAACCATCTGTGAATAGCTTACAATCTATTTCTATGTTCCAAAAACTGTTTCTTTTCAATTTTGAACTGGAAGAATTAAAGTCTTTATATTTTTCCTCTAAACCTCTCTTCATGGGTGTCTGATAGTCAATTCTTGTTCTGACTAGAGTGGAACACTTGTACCCAGTTTTTGCTACTGATTTTCTTTGCTCTCTCTGATCTTAATTCCACAGATGCTATAATAATTTTACTTGTCATTTAGTTTGGTAACTGATGTACTTGTCTCAAGATACTTATCTTACAGATATATTGAAGCCTCAGAATATTTTTGCATAGCATTCCAAGATAGAAGCCTGTTGATATGGTTGAAATCTTGTCCAAAATCTCTTATGCATCAAATGTTTCCTTAACTTACTTTTGTGTTGACAAGTGTGATGTTGCTGTTTGTATCTGTTCAAAAGGGTGTTACAAAGATGATGATGTAGCACACCTCATTATGTTGTTGTGAATAGTCTCAGTTCAGCCCAAGAAAGAACAGAGATAATTTCTCCAAGGCTGAGCCTGGGAATCTTAGAGGAAAGAATTAAAACAATTATTCTCTCTCTTTCTGTAACTGTTGTTTATAGGTATGGTTCTCCAGAGTGTACTATTCATAGTTCACCAATAGTGTGAGATGTTTCTACTTTGAGACCAATCAAATGTCACCTTAGTAAGTCACATCATAAAAGACCTGCTGCTTTCATTAAACACTTTTACCTTCTAAAACACTTGAAGACTATGGTCTTCTTTCTGTCCCTGACTCTGCAGCATCATTACGTGTCCGATGCTTTTGCCTTCTGTTGGTTCTTGCCCATGTACCTTAAAACACACAAGCTCTAGCATGGAAAATGGGTAAAGTTTCACTTAGTAACTCTTGATCAAAAAGTTGGTAATTATCTAATCGGTTAAAAATCACACAACCCAAACCACTTTTCTGAAGAAGGTTTTTGGCTCTTGGAAGGGTTAAAAAAGCCAGAGTGATTGATGTGTGCTGGGGATTAGTCATAAGGATCATTCATGAAATCATAAACGTACTCTACGTAGCTTTAATAGAGGAGTCAGTGGTTTCTCCAAAATGAGTTTCTAAATAATTGGAACAAAGGCACTAAATTTTGTATTACATGATGCAAAAGGAAATAGAAATAGAAAGAAAATAAATAGAAACCTTGTCTTAGTTACGCTAACTTGTCTTTTAATAAAAAGTAGTTTCTTTGCATGTCTGTATATTCTGTAGCTATGTTAGGAGTACAGCTGTTTCTGGGTAACTAAAAACATTTTAAAACTATGCTTTTAGTAAATAAGTCTGCTTTCTCATATTCTACATGTAACGCTTGGAAAGAATTTTTCATAAATTGGTTTTGTAGGTATCTGTTCCTCCAAACTTTCTGTAAAATTCTGATGTTCTGCATGATTTCTTTCTAATGTAATGGGATTCTGGTCGGTTAACTCCAGTGCTAGGCAACTGACCATCATATGTATCTTTAGGAAAAGCCTTTAGAATAAGGCAGTTAAATAACAGGTAAGCTACCGCAGAAAAATAAGGATGTTTAACTTTCAAGAACATCCATGTTAATTAGGGTTATACAGAATGGAAGCAGTATGTGATATGTTGCACCTTTTGTATTTTTAGTTGGATAGATTTGCCAGTATAAGAATTCCAAGAAGTAAAAAAGAAAGACCTCCTCTGCCACATATGAAGCAGTCACATTCCACAGATTGGTCATCCACCCCCATGGACCCAGAGGATTTTGCTACAAAACCACTGTCGGAAAGAGAAATCATAGCACTGTTTGAAAAAATGATGGTAAGAGTCTTACACTTTCTTTTACTTAAAGAATGACAACATGGCTAAGTGATAGGTGGAACAGGTATTCTTCTGTGCATGTATTCTAGTCTTTACCTGAATTACTAATATAATTGTTGTTGTGAGTTGTAATTGTGTATTTATTAGGGTGTTTCTCAGGAAATAAAGTATTGGAATTATTTTTGCAAATTTTTGATGCAAGTGTATTTAAAACAGAAATTAGAAGTGAGATTATGCAACACGTTTTGAGGAGGAACAAGAAATGGGGGATCCTTCTTCCTTTCAAGATGATCTGAGACTTTCACAAAGCGATTTTATGCCTTCAAATGTTACAGCCACATTTAGTTCTTAATTTATATGCCATGTCACTATTGCACAAAAAGAGAGAATTGCCTCCAAAGCAGCATTTGTCTGCAAATTTGCTTCTTTCCTTAGTTGTCATTGTTAGTGCACTACAAACGAGCAGTCACAAAGATCGTGTGGCACTGGTAGCACCTCAGTAGGTTGAGCTTTTTGTTGTGATGATGACATTTTGGGCAATTGAAAACTAAACACGGAATGGCCATAAGAAAAGAGTGACTGAAATCTGAAGAGCACAGGAGAATGATGCCTAGATTATTATTTCTTTCTCTGCCTCTCAGCAAATAACAAGTAACTCTTGAAATACAAAGGGACTACCATGGACTGGCATGTGAAGAAAATGCCATGTGCAATGAGAGAAGTACCTTCGTGGAATTTGTACTTCCTAGTACTCAGTGATGATAGTTTAGTTTTCAAGAAGATTTTGTAGAACTCTTGAGAACTATAACTGAAGGATAACATTCAGGGTTTTCATGGTTAAATTGGTGAGGGAAAGAAATAATTAACTGTTACCAACTTTTGTATTTGTACTTGTGCCAAATGGTTCATTTTTCTCTGATGTCTTGCTTCTCTTTAAAATTTCACTGTAACTGATAATTGCTCAGAAAATGGGAGAGTTCTTTTTAATAAAACTTGAAGGTGTGCATCCTTCCATATACCTCTTGCATTTGGGTTGTATTTCTCTACAATCCTACAGACATTCTGTATGGGGTAGTCTGTGATGTTGTACTGTGCCATAAATAAATGGAAACTATCAATAAATCCTCAGAAACCTACTACTGCATGTCTAGATAAATATAGATGCTTATATCCATGGATCCTTAAATAACTAATTCCAATTTTAAAACTACTTTGCAAAATATGTTAAAGTACTGATGACATCTGGATAATTTGAATGCTTTCCTAGTTTCATTGAATAACAAAGCACTTAAACTTGTATTAAGCTACTTTATCAGTGTTATTTTATCTATAACATGCACTACAGAAAGGATTTTTCAGATTATCCACATTTGAATGAGCTGGAATAAAGCTAGTTTAGTCACAGTAGATTACATAGCTAATTATATATTGTAGCCTCTAGTTTGCTGTTCTGATCAAATTAAGTGATTTGTAGGGGTGGATTGGTGAACAATTTGAACAATTTGTTGTAGCCAGGCTTTTAGAACTAATTTTGTATGGAAAAATAGTGAATGTGTTAGTACTGAAGGAAGAAGTTTTTCAATTCTTAGGGTTTAGTGAATGTCTTACCTTGTACTTGGGGTTTTCCTGGATGCATATGGCTTCCTTCTCCCAGTATTTTATGCAGTGGTGTCTTGTGTGGTTTTCATGGCAAAAATTATGAAAGAGCTCATAAAACCAGATGGTTAAAGATAATAATTAACTACTATTTGCCTTCTTTAATTTCTGTTAGTGCTATTAGGAAAATATCCATGTGAAATGATGTGTTCTTCTTTTCCAAAAAGATATTGCTTACCTGTAGAATATATTTCAATTATTTAAGAAATAAAAGATGGAGATGAAGTATTTTATTAACTAAGCAATATCTGTTGTGCCCATTGTATCGCTCTAGTCTGTACAAATTAATTGTCTCAATGATGTTTTGTTTGTTAAAAACAAGAACAAAGAAATTACTTTTTACTGTACACACAGACAGACTATTTCCCATAAATTAACCTGCTGTTATATCTAGCCTTATGGAATACAGTTTGTGTTGACAGGTTTCTTAATTCTTGGGGCTTTTTTTGTGTTTGGAAGTTAGATACTTTTATTTAAGTTTAGAAGCTACTTTTCAGAAAACATGAAAGAGCAAGTCTGAAAGAAACTAAATAGAAGAATGAACTTTGGAATAGCTACATAATAACTTGAAAAGGATTTTTTTTTTAGTTCAATTTAAGTTCAAAATTAACCCTATACCAACTGAAACCAAGACAGGGGTGAAGCATTTTCTGCAATAACTTCTCAAAGCTTGGATTTATACAAAAGTTGTGTACATTGTTGTAACTGTTTCTAGGAACTCTGCTTCATTCTCTTCTACTCAGCATGAAAGCTATTGAAAGACAAGGAAACTTAAGTTTTGGTGTAGTACAAATTCTAAGAATTGTCTGTGCTGTTTGTCTTTGATTTCTGACTAGGTAAAATATCTTTGATATCAAGATGGTTACTCACTGATTTTGTAGCATTGCTTCTGCCAAAGCTGGTGAGGATTCACCTCATGAGTCTCAGCTGAAAATAACTGCAGTAATTCTTGCTAAGCTTGAGTAATGCACATAGTAAAGCACATGGTGTATGTGCTTTATCTGTGTGTGCCAAAATTATTAATTGTTCCTGAAAACACTTTTTTTTCCCTTTTATTCATTAACTTACACCATGATGAGAAGTGCCATTTCTCACAGATGTGCAACTGTTTACAATGATCAGAGCATTTCTAGGCTGGAGCAGTAGAACTCCCCGTGTCAGAAATGCTAGTGACATCCAGAAGTGTCACTTGTGTGGTTTTCAGTGTAGGTGTCTCTCTGCTCTTTTTGACCTCTGTATTTATGTTGGGGTGAATTAATTATGTGGGGTTTTGGTAACGGTTGAGTGTTTTGATTTAATCCTTAAAAATTTTGGCTTTGCTTACTGCAAAGGTGATTATTAATTTGTGAACTAGTTTCAGCACAAAACACATTCTGCTGCCAAGATGAAGCATTTGGGAATAGAGGAAGAGAATTATGGAATAAATTAAAAATTAAAATTGAAATTAAAAATATGTAAAATACTGGTATGAGTACATTTATAAATGTTTTGGGAAGTATTAAATAGTACTCTTCTGTAGTTTGGTGCATGCGTGTGTGACACTGTAGGTTTTTCCTAAGAAGAGAGTGTACTCAAAATGATTGTGATGCACTTGTTAATCCTAGCATAGTTGACTGTTTTTGTTTTTTTTTCAGTCTGAGTTCAGAGGGAATATGGATAAGGATTTTTATGGTTTTGATTAACATCTTATGAAAAGTTCTTTGTATAATATCTTTAAGTAGTATGAGTTCATATTTTTGTGTCTTTATTTATTTAAGTCAGTCTCTTACATTAAAATCATTCTGTTGATGTATAGCATTTAAGACTGTTTTTTCTTTTTTTTCCTATCTCATTCTAGGAGGATATGAATTTAAATGAAGACAAGAAAATGCCATTGAGAGAAAAGGATTTTAATACCAAAAAAGAAATGGTGATGCAATATATTAGCACTGCTTCCAAGTCTGTAAGTGAATGACTAAAAGCTTACATTGTGTCCTGTTGGTCAGAAAAAGTGATGCGTGCATATAACATTACTTTGACTAACTTCTGTTTCTCATAGTGCTCTTTAAAAATGTTTCTGTCTGTCTTACTATTTTACAAGTTACAGTGGCAGATAATCACTTGTACTTGAAATGCGTCTTCTATACAGAAACCAGCACTTCTTTATGGTAAAGGTATGACTAAGAGTAGAGATGGAAAGATTCTGCAAAAACTTCTTGCAAAAGTTTGGTGTGAACCTTTTTCTTTTCTAGCATTGTTTAAAAAGAATTCCTCAACTGATGAACCTTTTTCATACCTGACTTAAAATAGAGTTCATGTTTGATGCTACGTAATAGCTGATAATGAAAGTGTTGTGCACAAAATCAATTATTGTCCATTTTTTACCTATAAAGATAATGATCGGTTGTTCTAAAGCAGTGCAAGGGGTTGTATGTAAGGGCCAAATTAAGGATTCAGTTGGCATTAGAAAAAGTGCTTAGTTTTTGCAGAGTGAGAACTGACTCCTGCACTAAATGCTCCGTAGCTAATCCTATCCTCAGATATTCTGATTGTTTTAGAATTCATATGTTTGAATCTTCAACTCTCACTCCTGTATGTAACTTGAGATATCAGTAAAAATTGCCTGGATGTAATTACAACTAAATAAAAAGAAATTAAAACATTAAATATAGTAATTTGAAATATTTATCTTACTGTCTACTTCACATGATGTATATTATTAGTCTTATGCTTTAGCACTTTTAGTAAGGTAGGTATGTCTAGTGCAGGACCTAACTGCCTGGAGATTACTTTATTTGAGTTTATCAAAGCTACTGGTCTTGTCTATAGCTTAACAGGTCCTTAATATCAGAAGATTAAGCTTGTTTTTCTTTTTTAGAGATATTGTATGGGAAATCAAGAAACTTCAGACTAGTAGATCTTACAACATTCTTGAAATTTATCTACCGAAGATAGTATGTGAGGGTTTATATATCATTGGTGCCCCTAGCCTCTATATGTATTTTAACATCTCAGTTGTTTGATCTAAAAAGCAATGTGATAATAGAACATGACTGGCTGTGCAGAGTTGCTGCATTCACATCTGTTGCTGAAATCATAGCATGCTGATGATGATGATGTTAAGGCTCTCTTTGACAAGAGAAAGGTTTTCATGTCTTTGCTTCTTGGCCACAGAGTACATCTCATTGGTTCTTCTTTCTGAGTGCCATTCACAATTTTCCTTTTTTCTTTGGATGTCGTCACACTTGTGTTTTGGTAATGGAGCTTCTTGCTCAGAGGAGCTGTATAAGGTGCTTTGTTGAAGCAGACAGGTCTGTTTCCTCCCCCAGGGCAATGATTTGTTACCACACACTTGTGTGTTTTCCTAAGGCCCACAACAGCATTTTCTCTTTTCTGTTCCCTTCCTCTGCTGCTAGCCCATGTGTTCCTCTTTCTGTGATGGGAGATGACTAAACACCAGTCCCTGCAGGGTAACTTGTCTTTCCTGAACTCTCTGCTGTTATGTCTTTACTGGATGTGACATTCACCTGTTGTGTACTGGGAGAAGCTGTTTCAGTAAGGCACAGATTCAGTACTTCCATCTAATTGTGCTGCAGATGATTTCAAATTAGTGCTGGAGCTATTGGGATGGGAAATTCCTTCCCTTGCCATTCCTCAAGTTAGTTGGACTGAGTGCCTTCTGAGTCTAGAGAGAATAGTGCATTGCACTCCAAGAGTACTTGGCGAACTTCTGTTGTACCTTGACTTCGTGAAAGTGTCATACTTTTTTGGAACAGTTGAAATGCCACGTAGCTCATGACTATTGTGTGCAGCTAATCCCATCTCGGGCCTCTCCTTCTAAAAGTGATACTGCAGTAACTTCTTTTGGTAGTTGATACTTCTTTTCGTGCTTCTTGAACTTTAAGGAGATGTGTACTAAGATATTTTGCCTTGGAAAATATATCCTCATTCACAAATGTTATGGAGAGTACTGAGCATATTTCATTTAAAGCAATTATCATTTTAAGAACTATTAAAATGGAGAACAGAGACTGCACCTCTAATGAATCAATGAAAATGAAGCAGCCTCTGGTGGTCAAAGTGGGCTCTACTTTAATCAAAGCTTTATCATTGACCTCAGTGTCAGGGTTTCTCTTTCTCAGAAGTGCACAACTCCTTTCCAATAACCACAAAGCACCCCTCTTTGCACAGTAATGCTTGCAGAAAACAAAAGTTTTTAAAATAAAATTCCATGTTATGGGGTTAATACTCAAGGGGAAATAAAAATAACATTGCTATCATGTTACTCAACCATAGGTTTTACTGTTTTATATGTTCAAAACACACAAACTGGATTTTTAAAGTGAATTTTCTTCTCAGCATTTTGTTTTTGTTGTTCACGTTGTGCCCTTGTGATGTTTTAACTAGATTAATTAATGCTGACTTCATGCTGCATCTGCTCACAGACCAGTTGTTCTTCAGTTGAGCAATTAAGTTTCTAGAGGCACTGATGCCTCAAGATATTTCCTGTTTCTCAGTAAACTTGAACATTTTGAACTTAAGCAGCTTTTCTCATGCTGAAATACAGCTAATATAATCTGTTTCACAATTGATACCAAATGCAGCTCTCATTTTATTTAAGCACCGGCAGATGTATCATATTCTTATTATGTTGCAGAACTTTGGCATAACCGTGAATAAGTGGTACTTAGCACTGTGCTAGTTTGTTGTACAGACATTCACAGTTTACTGGTTCTTTTGCATAGGGTAATATTGCAGTGGGGAACTGAGTCTGAAATGGGATGACTGGTTACTCTCTGGATGTTGATGTGAGTCTCCACTGCACATGGCACTGTTTTCAGATGGGTCACATGAGGCTTTCTGAAATGTCATTCTAGTGAATTCTTCTAGTCTGACTGGGCTCCTGTCCCATGTGACCTTTGCACTGCACACACTTGCTATTGATTATATTAAATTCCTTCCAAAATATCTTCTAACCATCTTAACTGTATCTCCTGTCCATATGACTGCCCAATATGACTGTGCATCAAAAGAAAGAATTTTACTGACAACTTATAAGTATTTTGGTTACATCAGTTTTGTCAATTTTACAGCAGGAACTGCTGGGAGAAGTCAGTGGAAATGACAGATTCTCCACACAGGATATTAATCCTTATGCTTAGGCATACAAGTAGTGCTTATCAAGTAGTGTATGCACATCAGGAGCTGCCAGCAGAACTTTTGAGACTTCTTGAAATTTCTAACTCTCTTGTAACATTTAAGTTAAATACTTTGTCATGAAGGCTGCTGCGAGTTTGTTTGGTCATTTTGTCTATAGTCAGTCTGTTATCTTATTTATGCAGAGTCCAGCTGGAAAGATCCATGAAAGAAAACTGAAAATACTGAGTTTCATTTTGTTTGTGGGGACATTTATTGTTCCTGATTTTTAAAAATTTTCTCTGGTTTTCCTAGATCTGTCTTCCAGATTCTCACCTCAACCCTCATCCTTTGCTGTACATTTCATCTACTTTTTTTTGTGAAGTATAGTTATTGGAAGTTACTCTCATACTTAAGCTAGTAGGAATCCATCAATTCAGAAGCATGTTTGGAATGACATTCCATGTATTACACACGATGTTTTAAAATATAACATGAGATGCTATATTTTTGGGATGATTCCTGGCAGCATGAGATTTTTTTTTTTTTGGGTTTTTTTTTTTTTTTTTTGTGTCTGGAGAACTGTTATCAAGTCTGAGGAAATATAGTTGAGGTGGAGACTATTATAGCCCCCAATGTTCTGTTGTCACAGAGTCGTGGAATAGAATTAGAGTGGAAGAGACCTCTGGAGATAGTCGCATCCCACTTCTTATCTATTCCACTTTTAATATCTCTGATAGGGGAGACTACACAGTGTGCCTGAGCAACCTGTTCCAGTGCTTTACCAGCCTCATGCTTAAGAAAATAGAGGGAGGAGGGCGGAAGTTTGTGTTTGTCTTATGTTTAACCAATTTCTTGTATTTCAATTTGTTCTTCTTGTCCTTTCAGTGATAGGGTTCCCCTGAGCTTTCTCTTCTTGGGGCTAAACAATCTCCGTTCTACCAGCCTCTCCATGTACTACAGATTCTCTTGTAATTGTGTCCACTGCCCTTTCTGGATTCTTTCCAATATCTCCATGTCTCTGATGCTGGGGAGTCAGGGGCTGGATAGAATTCTCCAGATGTTTCACCACTGCTGAGCTGAAGGGAAGGGTCATCTCCCTCAACCAGCTGGTGATGCACTTACTGTGGTCAACTTGTCATCCATCACAACCCCTATTTTCCTACAAGCCTACATTCCAGCTGGTAGCCTCAGCACATGTTGGTGCATAGGATTATTCCTCCTCAGGTTCAAGATTTACAGTTTTCTGTTGTGGAACTTCCTGAAATTCCTCTGCCCATTTTTCCTGTCTGTTGATGTCCCTCAGGATGGCAGCTCAGCTGCCTGGTCTGTCAATCATGCTTCCTAGCTTTTAACTTCATTTCTTTGCTAGAAACTATTTAATCATATTCTACCTCATGGAAGAAAACATTACTTCTCAGTATTTCCTGAGGATCTAACAAAGGCAGAAAACATCATCTAATATGAAACTAATATAATATAATAATATAATGAGAGCTAAAATAATATAATGACACTACCTTACCATTTACAGTGAACAATTTCAAGTTATTATTTCAATTTCAAGTCTAATTCTCTTCAATTACTGACTTAAGCTACTAGTTGATCAAGAATTATTTAGTAAATTTCTTTGTGCAACATGACAGTTGTGCTTCTATTTTCAAAAAAAGGAGTCTTGCAATGAATTAACTCTAAGTTTTATGCACAATTCTTTACCTGCTTTTTTGTATTTAGATATGTTCTGTAGATAATATATCTGTCCTTCCTGTGAACTGGGTATTAGGTGGACTAGACTTCTTGTTTTTTGATGTCTACAAGAATATCTACTTCTGCAAGAGCAGAAGTTACTGCAGTAACATGCTGAGTGTTCTGGTATGCTGCTTTTTCGCTCTGTATGCTTATGTGAGTGCAGTCACCCTTCTGGACATGTGCCCTCTTCAGAGAACCTCATAATTGGTTTTTTCTTCTGTTGAATACGGAATGTTAAGATTTTTTGCAAGGCATAAACAGAATCCATTCAATACAAAATTTTATTTCACTGAGCATGTGTGATAAATTTGTACATTTCAATACAAAATTTTATTTCACTGAGCATGTGTGATAAATTTGTGTAAATTTGCCTGTTGTTTTTGTCTGTTGATAATAAATTTATTCATAAAATGGCCAAATTTAGTCAGCATTTGGCAAATAGTAGATAGGCATCAGTTATGGGTTTGCAGGTCTACATTATATATTTTTCAAGGAATATTAATGAAGCTTAGCCATTAATAATCTATTTAAGTTCTATATGCACCAAATAAAGAACATGTCTGTTTTCTGTGTTTCAGGGAAGTCTCAAGAACAGTAGGAAGATTTCTCCCCAAGAATTTATTCAGGATTTAAAATCTGGGTCAACGGATGAAAGATTAGTCACTTGCTTAGAATCTCTCCGTGTGTCCTTGACTAGTAATCCTGTCAGGTAACATCATTAGCACATGTTGAAGAGATTAATAATATTCTTATTTCTTAATGGATTAAAATTAATGGATATGTACATGTACATGTCTCAAGGTTTTCCAGTTAATGAGTATGTATGCATTAGTGAGTGATTTTAACTTCTTTCTGCTTCATTGATTATGTATCCTCTGTAGGTCTGTTATTTTTAATAGACTTGGCTGATCTGTACAAGATAATACTAAGAGAAGGTAAACTAAATGTGGTGCAGAAGCAGTTCCTTTTGTTTTCTAGTGCTAAGTAGTCAATTGCTTCTCATTTTAATTTTTGAAATATTTTCTAGATTTTGATCTTCTAACTTATTTTTGTCAGGGTAATCAATAATGGGAGTTAGGCACCTTGGTGTAAGTTTGCTCACCAGAATACATATATATTTCTAAATCTGTGCTGCTGCTTCTGTCCAGTGTACTTTAGGCTTTCTTCCTTCCTTCCTTCCTTCTGGTATTTTTTTTTCTGTACCTGTAGGTTTTATCTATACAGAAGAAAGCACAGCCTTTGTTTACCTGTGCTTTATCGAAGGAAGGCTAACTCTTCAGTAATCACTGATAAGTCTTAATTTTGGTTTGTTCCATGCAGTTGATTTCTGAATGCTGACTTTATTTCATTAAATTCTATTTTTTTTCTATTCTGTTCTGTTTACATCCTTTTGTTTAAGGTTACCATTTAAGACAATGGTTATACACATGATTTGGGGAAACTGTTTAGGGTGTAGTTTAAAATAATGCAAATTAAATATTAGGACATGATTAGAAAAGGATTGCACAACTTTCTTTTCTCTGTGTCTGGCTTGGCAGAGTTGCTGATATGGGTCTTCTCTATGGGTATTTGCCTCTTTCCTTCTGTTATTTTGTTTCCGAATTGGGTTGTCTTATTTAGAAAATATAATGGTTTATGTGGAAGGAAACATGCTTTACAGTAGCCTGAATTATTCTGACAAAGGGTTTTCAATTAGTCATTTTTGTAAATTGTATTTTTAGTTCACAGAGAAAATCTAAATCAAGTGTTACTGAGTTGTTTGATCTCTGGCACTTAGAAACAGGTATTGATATCCATGGTTTACTGCAAAAAGCTGTGTTTATTTCCCATCACTATAAAAAGTGAGCTTCTAAAAGGACAATCTTGGTCACTAATCTTCAGGTAAATAATTTAGGTGTTTTGACCTCACAGGTGCCAGCACAGTTCATTAAAAGTGGTTCAAGTGATCTAGCTGTACATATTATTACAGATAATTAGTTACCTGCAACTCTTTCTTCCCCTTTTGTGTAATAGTTGCAACAGGTTGAATTTCATTAAAAGAACATTTTTAATAAATACATTGAAAATAGAGGCACTGATAACTTAGTATTTTTTCAGAATGACAAAAAGCTGAGTGTTTTCTTTGGGTAGTGTAAGTAGTTTTTGTTCTCCTGTGGAAGCAGAGGTAAAGGCAGTAAGAATGCATCAGTACTTTAGTTGATCATCCCCAGCTGTTGGATGTGCAGCAAAGTGGCTGCTCATAATTCTGCTAATACAAAATGTTCAAATAAATGAATCTTGTAGGATTATCTTTAGGACAGGTATGGCCAGATATGCCAAAAATAGTTGCCAGTTATTTGCCTAACCTGTTTCACATTAAATGCCCAAGAAAGAGAGAATCTATTTTCATAATGTATTTACTTCTAGAAGGGAAAAAAAAAATACGGTTTTCTCTTCCTGTAATTGTTAGTCCTGCTGTCAGTGTGGCGTTACTTGTATTTGATATCATGGTGTTTTGAGCAGTACTAAACAGGACTATGAGCCATTTGCCTCATGAAGAAACAACTGGCCAAGGGTTTAACCTGATCAAAAGATGCACTTGGTAGTAGCTGAAATTTTAAATTTTTGTTGTATTCTCTTGGAAATATTTTGGGTTTAATACCATCCAGTTATTCGTGCTTTTATTTATGGTGACAATTTTCTTTCACTGTGATTAGTCTTCAAAATGTCAATTTTTTAAAATGTCTTTTTTCTTTCTCCTAGCTGGGTTGAAAACTTTGGCCAAGAAGGTCTGGGACTGCTGTTGGATGTTTTGGAAAGATTGGTTGAGACAAAAAAGTAAGGATTTAGTATAAAATTAGCTTTTCTAAATATAAATAGAATATAAATAGAATATAAATGATATATAATCTCTAATTTTATATATAAATATCTTAATATAAAGTTAGCTTTTCTTAATATTTAAAGAGCATTTATTTACACTTAATTTTTGATTTGTTCAGTCAGGACAGACTTGTGAAAAGAAGTCAGCATAAAGTTATACAGTGTTTGAGAGCCTTCATGAATAATAAGGTATGGGATTTTATTTATTCTAGAAACAAAATTACTACAGTTCAATTAGATAAGGTACCTGATGAGTATAAGTCTGTGCAATTTGGTGGAGTGGTGGGTTGGTCATTTGTAGTTTGAAGTTCTTTCTGTCTGCTAGAAGTCTGTCACTTTCTCTCTGCAGAAATATTCCAAGACAATGTAAAATTTTGATGCTGTTATATGCTCTTCTTACAGAATAAGTGACCTATTTGTGACTTTTCTCTTGTTTAATTTTTTTCATTATTTCACAAACTAAAATGTCATTTGAAATATCTACTTGAGGGGAACCATTGCTGTCATTACTAGTACTTGATGGTCATTTGGATTCTCTCCCTTACAAATATTCCTCTGTTGTTTAGTATGGGTTGGAAAGAATTTTGGGAGAAGAGAGGAGCCTTTTGTTGCTGACCAAAGCAATTGATCCCAAGCAAACTAACATGATGACGGATATAGTTAAACTCTTATCTGCAATGTGCATTGTTGGAGAGGAAAACATGTAAGTACTGCATTTAAGCAAGAAATACTAAGGTAATTTTACAATATCCCAAATTATAGTTATATCTGAATGAAATGATAAAATTTTCAATTTAGATTTGAAAGTAATGTCTGTATTATATTGTCAGTTTTCAGAATACCTTTGTGATTTTTTTATCGTGGTCATATCAGTGAGGCTTTTTTTCACATCTGGATTATTGGTTAGATGGAAATAGTTCTGCAGCAATTCTTTTACTTAATACTTATTAGCATAATTTTCTTAACCCTTGTATTCCAGTAAGTCATTCTTTGGTTACAAAAATCTCTAAAGGCAACAAGTATTGCTTAAACCTCCCAAATTTGTTTACAGGAAATTGAGGCAGGTGAATAATTTGGCAACATGGCTTTTAAGATAGCAAATAAACAAGTTTAAATATCTCTCCTGAGTGAAATAATTCTCTTTTTCTTACAGCCTTGAAAAAATTTTGGAAGCTGTAACAGCAGCAGCAGAGGAGAGGAATGTTGATAGATTCTCTCCTATTGTAGAAGGTCTTCAGGATAACTCAGTTCAGCTGCAAGTAAGTGCTTTTTTTTTTTTAATATAACCGCTGCAACAAGTGAAAATAAAACGATATGTTTTTCTGGACTAAACAAGTCATTACAATAAAAAGGAGTAGGGATGTTTCAAACTGGGGTCAAATTTTGGGATATTGTTTATAATTTTGTCTTTCAAGGTGTGGCATGGGAAGATTCAGCCTGGAAACATGGGGGTGTTGCAGGTCAATTTGTTGATTTCTATTCACTGAGCTCTTACCTTTGCAAGTTAAAAGACAGTATATATTTAAAATAAAGGATAAATCATATGTTTGGATGCAAAAAGATCATATCGCTTCTGGAAATATTTGTTGAAATTGAATATTAATAGTAGTAAAAATCAAGTTTTTAGGCAACTGCATTCTATAATTAATGTTTTAAATCATTGGGAGGTCTGTCCCTCATGCTCACTTTATGATATCATAAAATTGCACTCATAGGGTCTGAGGAAAGAAAACTTTCACCTTATTTTCCATTTGCTTCAGTTGGATGTAAAGTTTGTGCCTGCAGAAAGGCACAAAGTATTACACTTTGAATAATCATTGATATTCATGTAATCAGGTTCAACTGAGAGCTGTTAATAATTTAAAATCTTTAAAATCCTCTACTATCTTGCTTAACATATTTATTTGCTTACATGACACATATTTCTACTTGCTTAAAACATATTTTGGCTTAAACTGCAAATCTTTATTCTTGTTACGTGTCTGTTTCACTATTCTATTCTAAAGCTTCAAGCCTTCTCCAAGGTCTTAGGTCAAACACTGTATCCATCTCTATCTCTGAGCTTGTATGTTTGAGGCCTTGGTAGGTTTCTATGCTTGCATTTCTCACATCAATTCTTTGTTACTATTACAAAAATAGTAAAAGATTAAAGTTTGAAAGAAACTTTTGCATTACTCAGCTTTTATGTGAAATAGTTCATGTCTGACAATAAAAGTTGCTGTTTGTTTAATTTGTCTCACAGAAAAGCTAACCATAAAGGAATGTTTGCAGGTGGAGAATTGTTTGTAGTTCAATTTTGCCAGTACCAATGGAATTCTCTTTTCAAAAATTGTCGCTTCCTTACTGCTTCTCTCTTCTAATCATAGACTAGTTTGGGTTGGAAGGACCTTTAAAGACCATGTGCTTCCAGCCAGCTACCATGAGGAGGCATCTTTTCACCAGAGCAGGTTGCTCAAGGCCTAGTCCAATTTCACCTTGAACACTTTCAGGGATGGGGCATCCACAGTTTCCTTGAGCTATCCATGACTTTTATGAAATTTCAAAAAAATTCTGAGATATTAAAAAAATTTTTTTTTTGATTAAAAAATATTAATGATTCATTTGTCATTATTTGAATCATTGATTCAATACTTTAGATCACAAAAATTCTTTTTTTCAATTCCAGGATTTGTATCTAAGTTAAGAGAATTCAAGAGTCGGTGTAGAGCATATAAGTATTTGAGGACTACCAAGCTGAAATTAGGAGGATCTTGTTTTGAGTGTAATGCTGAATTTTCAGGGCTTGTGTATATTTGCATCTGTGTAGATTTAATGAAGGAAAAAAACTACTGTAGATTTAATACACAAAAAAAATTATTATCTGTAACTTCCTTTTCTTTATAGTTGAAAATGCATGTGAAACTCCCCTTACAGCAGGCCATTATTGTATTTGAGCCATCAGGCAAGTTAAGTTAATCCTTTGTACCTCTCATTTTACCCAAGATGGGTTCCCACTGTTTGCAGGGATGCTCAACTCCATGAGCAAGATACACTGGTGAGATAAGCAAATCAGTGCAGTAAACTTCAGCTGAGTTACCTATGCAGTAGCAATTTAAATTTTTCTAGGACTACTCTTCAGATATTAAAAAAGTTTGTTTCTTCTAGTTATTCATTCTATCAACTGGGCTATACCTCCATCTGGTATTTTGTTATCCTCTAATATAGAAGATAGAAGCATTGTTAAAAATGAGAATTTACTCTAAATTTTACTGTTGCAATACTTCTGCTAAAATACTTATGCTCAATATATTCATTTGGCTTTGCTGAGAGTGTTAGCCTGAAGTTCCTGCAAATAGGTAATGCTTTGCCATTGCTGCATCTTGTGTAGACATGGAAACTCATTAAAAGTTCTTTTCTGTTTAGTTTTTTTTAACTAAACTTTCATTAAAGTATGTTCCTTCTGCTAAAAGGCTTTTTGATATTTACTTTTTCAGAGTTAATAAATGGTTGCTAGATTTCTGTTTTTTAAGACCAGAAAAATCAAGCCTCCTCATGTGAATCAGTTGTAAACTTTTCTAACAATGACATTGATGACCTGGTGGTTAATTTGACAGGGTTTTAATGAGACAGAAGTTTACAGTTGTCAGTTACTTGGCATACTTGCCTTGATTGTCTGCTTGATGTATATATGCTTGCTTTGTGGCAGTTCAATTTGACACTAACAACTGACCTTTTCAATTCTGAATTGACTTAACATTTCTGTTACTAGAAGACTGAATACATAAAAGGCCTCAGTAGGGTGATTTTTGTGTTTTTCATGAAAGCTCTGTCTATCTATCTTTTGCATTTGTTGAATGCAAAAGATGTTCTATCTTTCATAAAATCTGAAATTATGGAAGGCATACTTAATTGATTTTGGTTCAAGATGAGATTAGTAGTCTTATTCTAAAAATATAACTATAGCCAGGAGTAATATCAAGTTTCTGGTTTTGTTACAGTAAATGTAGTTTAACATCTTAAGCCTAAAACGCATATAGGGCAATCTGATACCTTGTGTATTTATAATGACAACTGAAAAGTCCAATGCTTTGCTTGTTCAAGTCATGGAGGCAGGAAGTACAGCTTTTCTGGCACAAACCATTTTGATAGATAAGAAAGGTATGAAAACAGCAACAACAACTTGTTTGTTGTCTTCTCATTTTTCTAGGAGGATCAAATGAGTGCTTATACTCTCTAATAATCAACTTTCACCACTGCTTCTCAGGTGGTTTAACTAACAGGAGAGTGTTATTCTTCCATGCAGATCTAGTTGCAGATGCCAGCTCCTTCTAATTTTCCAGTTAGGACTGAGAAGAGGGACAATGGTGAAGCAAAGGTGCAATTTTTCCTTTCCTGGTTAAGTTCCTGAAAAATGAATACTGCTCATTCCTCTGGAAATGTGCAGGTTCATGCATATCCTAGGAGAAGCGTTTTTGTGAGAAAGTAAAAGATCCTAGGTATTCATCAATAGCCTTATCCTCCCAGTATTTTCAACTGTCAAGGAATACCTTTTAATCTTTGTCATTTAATAACAGGAGGATGTGAGATGGCTGTGACATTTTGGTTTGCTGAATAACCTGATGATTCTTGGTTGCTTTGTGCTAGGGAGGTCCTTTCCATAACTGCTTATGTGGTAGGGTCAATCAGAGCAAAGCTTACCTTACCTAAATGTCAAGACTGCGCAAACTAATTTTAAATTATTGTGGTCTTGTGTGATTTAAGCATTTTGTGCTAACCCCTAGGTATTGAATTAGTTTCACTTGGAGTATGATTTTAATGTTTGTGATCTACTATCAGGTTCCTGCTATTGCCTTTATCTTTAGTCCTTCAAAAAGTTTTTAAACTTAGAAAAAAGATTTTGTGATCTAATTTACTCAAATCTAGATGTGTAAGCATTGTGCCTTACTTAGACTTGTTTTTCTTTTCTCTTGTATAACTTTTTCTCACTCTGCTTTTTGTAGGCTTATGATTGGGACTTTCATTATTTGTATTCCTACACAAATAAATAGTTAGCTAATATTATCCAATGGATCTTTTTCTTGTTTGTTCCAGGAAGGCTAAAGTATGTTCTTGTTCTGAGCTGCAATTTAATTCCCGCTTGATCAAATTTGACTAGAAATACTAGAATAGCAGTACATCTTACTGATGAATTTCTTGCTTTTCATCGTTGTATCATGGCTCTGTTTGAGTAACATGTGCATGTAGTGTGTTGATTTGCCAAATTAAAAGAAAATAGTATTTTTTGGGGTACAATTATATCTGTAGATATCCTTTCATTGAAATTGCCTTGCTATCTCAAAGATAAAACTATAGTTTGCTCTTGATCAGGATTTTCATAGTAGTATTTTTTTAGTCTCTGATTGACTCTTCACTAGTTTAAATCATCTGTGATAAATGCTGTTTCCTTGCTTAACAGTCCATTCATAATGTTTTGCAGAAAAACATACTGTGTTTTAAACTGCTGTCATAACAATGACAAAGATTCCAAATTGTATGTAATCAAAAAACATGGAGTTGAAATGTAAATGTAACCTTGTAGTACTGTACTTTGGTACTGACTCTATGGTAGGGAAGTCTACAATCATTGAAATGCCTTGCTGATGTTAACAGGAGAGCAGGTGTTGGTGGCAGCTGTCAGTGCACTGAATTACTGGTTTTGAATGGCACAACTAATTGAATCCGGAAAATGCAATTGAGTGAAAGATTTTGTACTCCAGAGAGATGAATTGGAGATGGCATAACTTGTTTCAACTAAATAAGATCAAAATTAAGTGAAGTAAAAATTTTAATCTTGACTGCTGAAGGGGAAGACAAACACTCATAAAGTAGACCCATACCCAAACAAATACAAAAAGCTTTAAAAATAAAGTTCATACTCAGATAATAAGACAATAAGTTCTGTAAGGTTTTATTGCAGTAAATTTAACTGGTTTGGTTGCTTGCATTTTAAACCACTTGTGATGCCCAAATTCTTCTGTTGTGACATTGTAACTTGTGCAGTTTGTGGGCCTAAAAAATACACCTGGTATTCAAAGCCAAGGATTTAATTTTTAGTCTAAGTGATGTCTTAGTGGTCTAATAAAATTGCTCTCAGTAGTGCTAACACTTCTCTACCCCATCCCATTCCTATACATTTCTATGCTGCATTTCATTTATGGTTATATTCTATCCACTAGTTACAGAAATGTATGTAATGGTAAACTTTATGCCAGAGACTTGTACAAGGCTAAGAAAAATGTACAGCTAGTGGGGTGATAGTGATCCTGTTATTAGACAAATCCTGTTGCAATTAAATAAGCCAAAACTGAGCTCCAGGCAAGCCAAGTTTCGATGAAGCCTGAGACGTGTGGAAGCACGTGGTGTTAGCTTCATACAAAACCTGTAGCCTGTTACTAGCAAAAATAAGTGGGCTAAAAGGGCACATGTCCTGAACAAGACTGTAGAGGACTACAGACCAGTATTCAATATGAGGAGCTTTTTCTGTGTTCAAAGTGCTTGGTTGTGCAGCAGAACCTCTCATCTGTGTTTGGTTGCTGTCGAGACAATTCCTGGAAGATTTTATTCAGTCTGCTTTTGAAAAGTGGACTGGGTACCTTAGCTGGTTTCAAAATTTTTGGTATTGTAATGTCAGCATTTAGATGTAAGAGAATTATATTATTTGTATTTATCTTTTGGTAGTTGTAGCTTCCTTTGCTGGGGTTAGCACCCTTATTTGTTACCTAGTGTAGAGTGATGCTTTGGCAGTAACAAACATATTAGAGTAACTCTCAGGAAAAAGTAGTTGCACAGAAACAGGCTTGAAGAGTAATACAGAGGTTTTGTTTGAATTTGAAGAAAATAATTGATGAGTTAACAAAGTCCTATTTTCCCCTATACTGTAGACATACATAGAGAAGCAAATTGTATAAAATGAGGGCAAGAACACATTTCAGGGAGGAGAAGTATCATAAGAATTGTTCTGACAGGCACTACAAAGATGAAAAATCCACTGTGACAGTTAAAGGCTCAAACTGTTATCTATTTAGCAGCTATATAAGAAGAGAAGAATAACCAAGGGTTGCTTCTTATTTATAACTTCAAAGAAGCCCCAAATCGGAAAGATCTTTCTCCAGGAAACATACTTTCTGTGAGGCAAAACAGTCAATGTTGTGGTATTGTTAGCTATATTCCTATTTAACGGAGTTCTTTTAAAGCTGAGTGCTACTAATGTAATGTCAATATCTTTCTGAAAGAGAACACAGCAGAAGTATATTCCTCTTTGATACGTGAGGTCATTTACTTTTCCTCATCAGGTGATGATCTAATTGCCCTCACTGTAAAGAATATGGGGAAGGGACAGGAACAGGCTTTCATTGCCTTGCCAAGTCTGTTAAACACTTGGCTGACAAAACATACAAAGGCAGACTTACAGTGAGGCAGGGGGGAAAATGTTAGGAAACATTACTTCAACAGAATTTAATATGACACAATTTTTGAGCCATAGAAACCTTTTAAAAACAAACTTTTAAACATCAAATTCAATATTACTTATTACTAGTAGAATTTTTGATTTTGTCTACTTAGCATGCTGTTTTCTACATTTTTCTGAATTGTTTTGATATTTTGCAAACTTGTTTAAATTTTTGAAGTCCAGACTTAGGTTGGAGCACTCTTGCCTGCTCCTTGGGCCTTTCAAACACCTTTCATTGCTACATGAAATAGCACTTTGCTTTGCAAAGCCATTTATTTACACTGTCTATTTATTCATATTTCATATTTTGTATTACTCATTTTGTTCTCAACTATACAAAATATATTCCTACTGTCAACTATACAAAATATATTTCTACTGTCAAAGAAAAAGTCAAACTTGCCAATCAGTATTTGTCCAGATCTTCCTGAAAGTGGTCTTTTAAATGTCAATATAATTTCTGCCATCTTCATTTTCTTCAGTGTCAAAAGATACATTTCAGTATAAACTTGGATGTAATAGTATGTAGTTATTTTGTCCTCAATTTTTTTAAAGCTTTGAATGTTTGAAGAGTGAATGCTCTTTTGTTACTTCTCATATTGGCTTAATTCTTTGAGTTCTTCTACCACTTTTGAACTGTTTTGTCTCTGTTCTACTTTGTGATCTCCTTTCACACACCAGCGTGACAAAGTGTTGCTGTTTGTGTTGCTTTGTTTTCTTTGGGCACTTCTTTACACCATGGTCTTTTACTGACCCTACAGATTCTGTTGTTGTCTTCCTTCTTTGCAATTTTTGAGGAATTAGATGTGTTAATCATAGATGCTTTTTGCAAATTCAGAGTTCTATGTCTCTGTTAATACATTTTCATGTTTGATGTGTTAGTTTTGATTCCTCCTCCCCTCCACTGGTGTTGAATTATTTTGTTTAGGTGTTGTAACTTGATTATTGTCTAATACTGGAGTAAGTTACAGAAGTCTATCTTAACACTTATGCAGTTGATTTAAATAATCCTTTTGAGTCCTGTATGCAGTTTTGGGTGCCACAATATAAGAAGGATGTAAGACTGTTAAAATGTGTCCAAAGGAGGGCAATGAGGATGGTGAAGGTCCTTGAGGGGAAGCTGTATGAGGAGCAGTTGAGGTCTCTTGGTCTGTTCAGCCTGGAGGAGAGGAGACTGATGGGGGACCTCATTGCAATCTGCAACTTCCTTGTGAGGGGAAGAGGAGGGTCAGACACTGATCTCTTCTCTCTGGTGGCCTGTGACAGGATCCAAGGGAATGGCCTGAAACTGTGTCAGGGGATAGTTAAGTTAGATGTTAGGATTGGGTATCAATTTTTCACCCAGAGGGTGATCGGGCCCTGGAGTAGCTCCCCTTGGAAGTGGTCACAGCACTAAGCATGTCTGAGTTCAAGAAGCATTCGGACAATGCTCTCAGGCACAAGCTGTGATTTTTGGAACTTCCCTGTGCAGGGCTGGGAATTGGACTTGATGATCCTTTTGAATCCCTTCCCACTCAGGACATTCTATGATTTTATATGTTTAATTTAGTGTGATTTTCCTTATTTATGTCAATAAAATAAAAACAATAGTTTTCTATTATTATGCAAATATATATATTTGCATGTACTGAATTTCATAGAAGTTCTGAGGGAATAGAAATTAATTTCAGCTCTTTTTTCAAGTAAGAAGAAGGATCAAAGCTTGTTCATTCCTTCTATTACTGTTTTGAAGTTATTGTTGATGCAAGGTATGTAGTATGGCAGAGTAATCTAAGAATAAATGCCGTGGCAGCTTTTATACAGGAGAGGTATTGGATGAGTTAGTACAGTGGTTCCAGCCATGGCATCCTCCCTTGAGCATTCTTGTCCTTTCAGACATCTCCAGAAGTTGAAAAGATGGTCCCAACTCCTAATGCAGAGTTGTGGGGCCCTCGAGGTTCTCTTTTCAAGTGACTCCAAATACTGTCATTGATGGGTTTGGGTGGAGAATACCTCATGCTTAACTGGGTCATTTGTTTTTAGGGCCTTTGTCCCTAAAAACGTGTTGTAGCTCACAGTCTGCTTGTTTTTCTCAGCAGGTTCACTGCTCTCACATTAACAGATTGTTTACATTTGTTACATCTCTGTTCTCATAACTAAGCTGTTGTCTTCTAGAGTGTTATCTAGTAAGTTCATCTACATAGACTAACACTGCAGTCAAACAGGCCTAAATTATGCTAATTGCCATTTAGCTCCATAACAGTTCAGCTGAAATAATATATTCTTTGCAGTAGGATAAAAGGTGAGGTAATGGTTGTGGTCTGTGCTGTTATGTAATCTTAGCATGTTCCTTCTGGAAACCTAATGGGTGCTATTGTTTCTCACAGTCTGTATCAAAGTAGCTTGTACATCTTTGTACATAGTTGTTCTTATGACCATATGTAAATTCAGCACTTGGAATTATGCATACTTTGAAGATGACTGATATAGCATCTTTCCAGTATCACCTTTTGTCTATGGCATAATGCATCATCATTTTTTAGACTATAAATTGCTTTACAGCAAAGTATTAGAACCGGATTGCTTTAATTGTTGACATAGTATGTAAGGTCCAAATAGAATTCTAATGGTCTGGTGCTTTTAAAAAGCCCTTTAAATGCTGGAATTATTGAATAACATATTTTTTGTAAATTGAAGCAAAACATGCAATAAATATTATTTATATTTCTTGTCATCTGTATTAGAGATGAAGAGTAAGTTGCCATTGTTCTAAAGGCTTATGAATCCAGACAGTGAATTCCTGCTGCTTCTGGCTATGGGTTTTCAGGCTGAGTCTCTTGATTTTTCAGAACAGGGTCTGCTTAGTAGTTGCCCTGATTCTTTCTTTTGAGCTGAAGGAGCGATTCCCATGAAGTATTCTATAATACTCAGTATATTTAAAGAATGACTGTTTCAAAAACAAGTGGAAAAAAAAAAAAAACCATTCTGTTCTTCAGGCTGAGTTTAATTTATTCAGCATTTTAAAAAAAAAGATATGTTTCACTGTACACAGACTGTATTCTGTCACTAACTTATATGTATGTATAGCTAAATGTATATTTGCCATGATTTTTATGTGTCCATTATTATGCTTTATCTGTTAAAGTTCATTGGTAAAGGAACTTGATATTTGTATAAAATTACAAAATTCAATGGAGTGATCAAATATTTAATTTTTATGGAAATTCGTGAACTAGAGTTTGATATTTATAGCTCGTGCGGCTGATCAGGAATTTAAGTAGCTTAGTTATAAGATTACAGTAGTTTCATAATTAGAAATGATGTAATGCCTAATTATTAGTTTGTTGTATCTTTTTGATTGTGATGCATATTGAAATCTTAGAAATAAGATAGTTTATTATTTACTCTGTTACAGGTAGCTTGCATGCAGCTCATCAATGCTCTCGTTACATCTCCTGATGACTTGGATTTTAGGCTTCACATCAGAAATGAATTTATGCGCAGTGGATTGAAAGAGATATTGCCAGTAAGCATCTCATCTTCCCTCTTTGCATTGCTGTTTAAATTTTTTAATTATTTGAGCCTGAGAGTGGGAATGGAGAACAAGTTCTAATAACTTATTCTCAAAGGCATTTTATTAAGTTTGGGAAAGAGCAGTCAGGTACAAGAATCAGCCTTAAAATAAAAATGTAAAGGTGAAATGTGCTCTCTGAGCTTGTCATGGATTGACTCTGGCACAGTGCCAGCGCCCCCATGAAAGGTGTATTCTCCAAAATGGTTACTGTGAGAGGGGGCTGCCCAAACCATCCCAGGACTCCTCCACCCCTGCATCTTGCAGGCTCCGGCTTTCCCTCTCTCAGGCCGCAGGCCTCCCCCTCCACCACCCAGACACAGCTGGGCAGGGGAGAGATCCGATCCGCTCACCTGCCGGACTCCAAAGAGGAAGTCTCTCTGGGAGTGCTCTGCTTTTAACCCCTGTGTGTTCTCAGAGGCGTATCCAAGTCCCCAGTGGCCACACCAGGAGCCAGTTTAAAATCTGGCTACTGATTGGTTTGACCATAACTTTCCCAAAACCTCACTTCCTGGTCAAACCATGACAGAGCTTTATTCTGATTTTATTCTGATTCCTCAGAATTTTATGACTTTGCTTAAGAACATGTGACACACTGTTGTGCAAAAATTTTAAGCCAGAGTGAAGATATATTTAACTTTTGAATATTTAATTTAACTCATATGTTCTTGGAATTTTAAACTTTTAACTAATATAAACTTATGGAATTTATTAAAAAGATACATTTATTTACATATGGAAATGCTAATTTTGCAATTCTTTATACTGTTTCTTCATTGCAGCAACTACAATGTATAAAGAATGAAGCACTAGATATTCAGCTGAAAGTGTTCAATGAGCATAAGGAAGAAGACATGATTGAATTCTCTCATCGTTTAGAAGATATTAGATCTGAACTAGAATATCCTTTTGAGGGCTGATATGATCTTTGCTTGTGTCAGAAATAGTGTGGCCAGAAGGAGCAGGACACTGATCATTCCCTTGAATTCTGTGCTCATTTTGGGCCCCTCACCCACAAGAAGGACATGGAGGGGCTGGAGCGTGTCCAGAGAAGGGTCTGGAGCACAAGTCCTGTGAGGAGCAGCTGAGAGAGCTGGGGTTATTCTGGAGAAGGATGCTCAGGGGGGCCTTGTAGCTCTCAATGACTACCTGAAAGGAGGTTATAATGAGGTAGGGGTCAGTCACTTCTTCCAGGTAACAAGTGACTGAATGAGAGGAAAGGGCCTCAAGGTGTGCTGTATGAGGTTTAGATTGGATAATAGGGAAAATTTCTCAGAGAAAGGGTTGTCAAGCACTGGAATAGGCTGCCCAGGGAAGTGATGGAGTCCCCATCCCTGGAGATACTTAAGAAGATTTCTAGATGAGACATGTAGTGGCATAGCTGAATTGTGGACTTGGCAGTGCTTAGCTAATAGTTGGATTTGATCATCTTCTTAGAGGTCTATTCCAACATAAATTATTCAATGATATCAGCAGGACAAACATGAATAAAATAAAGCATATAATGGGTATTTTTCTGCTATAATTTCTGTTTAAAGAAGCTGTCAGTAAACATTTGACTGAAATTTTTTGATTCTTTGTTATTATTCTCCTTAACGCTTTCACTGAAGTAAATGATGTTTACAACATGGTGTGGAATACAGTTAAGGACACTAGTGCTGAAGGATATTTTCTTTCTATTCTCCAACATCTTTTGCTGATAAGAAATGATTATTTTATCCGGTATGTTTAATGCTGTGTTAAATATTAATTATGGTTTTTTTTAAATTATTCAGTCATTAATAGAACATTTCTTCCATAAATCCAATGATAGGTTTTAGTTTTTCTGTGTCAATTGTAATTTGTGAGCTCATGTTTAAAAGAATTAACTTGGAATCAAAAATGCCATGTATATGTTTTTGTCTCTTCTGCTTATAATTCTGTGTATAATTGTACTTTATAAACATAGAAAACTATTTTTGTTAAGAGCGGGGCCTTATTGATTGTGAATATAAGTGATCAGGAGAGATATCTTAATCAATTATAAATCATGGTAGTAGCATTATAATTTTGTGCTGTATTTGAGTCAAAGGACAAAACCAAGTTTGCAAAGAAATGCACTTTATACAGAAATCTGAACGTATGCCTAATTTAGAGTAACTTTTGGGTTGGAATTGAGTATTTTCAGTATACATTATAGGTCAGTATAAACATGTTTGTATCTCCTGGAAAATTCATCAGATAAATTATGGGGAAACAGTTAATAAAACTTTAGTGTTTCAAGCTGACAAATACTTTCCTTCCAAAACTCTTGTGTTGTCTTTGAGGAAACACTGGAGGAACGAAGTATGAACAGGGGGCCATCTGTTTTCTGCACAACATTCTACATAACCTTGCATTTCAGGCAAGGTCTAGCACAGATGTACGTTTAAAGGTTAAGGGTGCTTGCCTGCTATGGGTACATCTGTGCTAGACCTCTTCCACCTGAAAAGGTTTGAATTCACAGCTTGCATGGGCAAGTGACCCAGCTGTCATACCCCGTGGCATTTTAGAACAAGGTGTTTTTCATTCCTTGTACTGAAGCAGGGCTGCAATGCACTTGTACTTACAAAAGTCACAAAACTAGTGGAATCAAGCTGAAGGAAGAGCATTTTCTTTGCTTAGAGGAAGCAGGAGGTGATCTTTCCTTCCTATATAACCATAGGGAGGGAGAGGTAGATTTTATAATAAAAGAATTATTTATCTTTAGTGCCACTGTTTTTTCAGGCTTTTTGTAAACTCCTTTTGTGTAATAAACTGCCAAATGTAATTTTCCTTTGAAACTTTTACCTTTCTATGGAAACAAATCAGCCCAAAGCTTTTGACTTTACTTTGTTCATAGACAAGATTTTAAGTATAGATTGATTAATAAATATCTGTAAAATAGCTTATCTCTATCTTTAGTCCACAGTATTTCAAATTAATTGAAGAGTGTGTGTCACAGATAGTGTTACATCGAAGTGGAACAGACCCAGATTTCACGTATCGTAAGAGATTAGATATAAATTTCAGCCACTTACTAGGTAAGTACCATGTTTGGAAATGATTACAGCATCATTCTTCCTTATATGAAACTGAATAGATAATTAAGAATCTTGTGTTCCCTGTGTATGTGTAAGTGTGCTTGTTGATTTTTTTCCAGATGTTTGTGTAGATAAAGCAAGGTTAGAAGAATGTGAAGAGAGGGCTTCTGAACTTTCCAGAAAAGTAAGTCATTCTTCATCACATGTGATCAAAAGAGGGACATGGGATTACTTACTAGATTAATGAATGGCATAACTGAACCATGGCATAGTTCTTAACTTCAACTTACTATTAGTTCCATGTTGAATTGGGCATTTGGATGTTCCTTGTATGTTAGGAAGCCAAGTGGTGTAAAGTAGTTAACCTTAATTGAGAATCTTTTTACTATTTAAGTTTTCATGTATAACTCTTCCAAAAACCAACTGAATACTTCATTTCAGCAGTTATTAGTTTCCCTAATAAAATAAACAGTGGGAGAATAAATACAGACTCCTTCATATCTACAGACTGTGTTAATGTACATCCATGGCTTTTAAGCTACTCTGTGTAATACTAACTTAAGATACATGAAGTCTTTATGCCATTTTCTATAGTGGAGACCTGTACTGGTGATTCAGATGTCTCTTCCATTCAGCAGACACATGGAAGTTGGAGTAGCAGACATGTGTGCTTGGTATTGTTATCATGTGTGTTTTAACAAGCAAAAAAGGAAAAGTTGGAATTTAAAGAAACTGCAGAATTCACTGGTATCAACAATTTTTTTTTCTTTTTTCTTAGTTTGAAAAAGATTTTGTAGTTCATCAGGAGACCCAGGCCCTGCTGCAAAAAAAAGAGGAAAGAATTAATCAACTTGAAACAGAATTACAAGCTTTTAAATCACAGGTACAAGACAGTATAAATGAATATATGAAATAATGTTTTTGAAAGGGACTTCCTTTTGCATCTTCTTCAGATTCTGATAGTGCAGTTTAGAGTTTTTTTAAAGAATCTTTATCAATTATTATTGAATTTTAGTTTCCTTTATTTCTGTTTTATATAAATAATTGTAATGTGACATTAATTAGCTGTGAGGTCCCAGATGGTCCTTTTATGCCTAGGCTCAGTTAATTAAACTAGTTTCTTAAGTTTCATTTGGGTTTTGCTTTCAGAGTCATAGATTTCCAAAGTAATTAACCACATAGGGTACTAAGTCTCATGCTTTTAGATTAGCATTCATCATTGTGATCTTTATCCCTGCACAGGAAATTGCTTATTATGCAGTTTGCTATACTGAGGCCTTACCATGGATATCCAGCAGTGAAAGAAATAACCTGTGGCTGGATAAGAACATTTCCTAATAATTTTTCAATTTTCAAGCATAAATAGATATTTGAAAATGTGATGGAGAGGAATAGTGCAGATTTTTTGAGAGTAATACTTAAGTTACTTGTAACTACTTCAACTCTTAAATTTATGTAAGGACACTGTGTGACCAAGTGGTTTTTCCTGTGTCTTATTTTTTGTGGAAATAAGAAGAACAATCCAAAAATGGCTAAAGAAGAAAGCATCAGAAAGACATGCTTTATAGGGGTTTATTTTAATACTTCTGAGGATTTTTAAAAAATATTTATTGGCTTTTTTAATTTTCTTAGTGAGGAAAATTAATTTAGCTCTGCTTTGGTCTATTTAGAAATGTCATTCTAATTCATGTTTCTGGTCAAAATTGATTGTTAATGTCAAAGTCAAACATTTAACAAAAGCAAAAAATTGTTGCATTCTAAAAAACCAAATATAATAAGAGTGGCACATCATTCATTAAGAAAATACTTTTCTGTGTGTATCTTGAAGTCATACTTAAATACTTTTTGTAAGTATTTAAGTATTATTAAGGGAGGAAATTGGATTCGTCCCTTTTTTACTTTTTCTGTTATTCACTGCATGAAATATAGCTTTTTTACATGCAGACAGAGAGCATAACATATGATTCTGCTCACTAATTTTCATACCATGAATTATCCCACTTTTGTTAGTGGGATACATGATAAGTTTTGTAAGTGTCAGGTAATTGGTTACTGCAACTTAGTACTTTTAAACTTTGGCTTCCATATGGCATCAATTGCTACTTAGCATGTTGACTTCTACCTCTAAGACTATTTTTTTCCTCTGGTCTCATTCCTTTACTCTCTTCTTGCAGCTGGTATGTGTTTCTTTCATTTCTGGAGTCCAACTGTTTAGTGTCTATTTGTTAATGTAAACAGTGCTTATGCTCAGAAATTCAAAACATCATGCTGTTGTGCATGCATTTATTTGTATTTATTGATATTCAGCTATTTCCTTTTAGAAATTTAAAATCTTTTGCATATTGTATTTCTTTTAATTTTCTAAAATAATCAGTTTCAGCTCATAGTTCGTTGAAGAGGTAATTATTGCTATCACCAGGAGATAAGTATTTCTTAATCAATTTATTCTTTTGTTGTTTTTGTCAGATACTTTCTCATTTATGTTTGCAGGCCTATGATAGAAGTTTTTCAAATAGTAGTAGTAACTTTATTAGACTTGCTGAAGTCCTAATCCTATTTTGATACATTATAGATGTCATTTCTGTATGGAATAAGAAGCTAGTGTGTAAGGAAGCTTAATTTTTGGAAGGATATTTTTTCATTATTGCTTCATGTTTTCAATTCTGTAGAATGAGAATGCTTCTACATGGGAAGATACCTATTTTTCAATAGAATTATTTATCTCTTCAGATTTTGCTGTTATGTACTTGGAATGTTTCTCTGTCATCTGTAGGATGAAAACAACAGAGACTAGGATGCTACTTTTCTTTTAATTTGAGCTAAACCATAGTAGTCTAGATAAGATCTCAGGATATCTATCATACCCTTTTTAGCTCATGGTCAGTGAAATACAAAAAGTGGGAAACACGATTTCAGTTTGTAATTTTTGGTGTGCACCCCCAGGTCTGAATGTCCACTTCAAATATTGACACTTCCGGTCATGAAATCAAAAGCACATTGGGCTCGTTATCATTCTGATTTGACTTTTCTATACAAGACAAATGGCACTGACTTTCAACTGGCTTTCTGTATTTAATCTGTAGACTATGATTGTTGCAGCATTTTGTTGATAAAACCGTGAAACTGAATAAGACTATTTTCCTTATCAGTATGGCCCGGTGCCACCTGGTTTTCTGTCATCAACTCATGGAGATGCATCAGTTGTTCCACTGGAAGGTGCAGGACTACATCCATTTTCACCCCCTCCTCCTCCACCGCTGCCTTCTAATGGAGCAATTCCACCACCGCCGCCTCCCCCTCCTCCTCCACCACTTCTGAATAGCTTGGGAGCTCCTCTGGGTTTTGGTGGTGCTCCTCCACCACCACCTTTGCCAGGCCTGCCTGGAATACAGTGGTCCCCACCTTCATGTGCTTTGCCATTTGGAATGAAGCCTAAAAAAGAATTCAAACCTGAGGTTACCATGAAAAGACTCAACTGGTCTAAGGTAGTGTTGATTATTGGCAAATACTTGATGTAAAATTTGACATTGAACTTGGTGAAAATACATTGTCAGAAGTAATACTAGATAAGCAATTTATACATTAGTTAAAATTATGTAAGATATGAATACTTTCTGTCTTTAGCTTTTCATTGTTTTTTTGAAAACTGTGTTTAATTAACCCATTAATCACCTGGGCAAGTATCTGTTGACTTTATGAGATGCCTGGAAAAGTCAGTTCTGGTCTAGAATAAAACTACTGTGGCTTCTTATGCTTCCTGAGTCCTATTATGCTTCGTTTTTCAGCAGACACCTTATGTTGGATCAGTCACTGAACTATACTGATCTACAGTTTTCAAACAAGTGTATCAAATCTATCTAGCCTGGACTGGAAAAAAGGAGTGCAGGTCTCTCCATTTGTCTGTAGTACTTCAGTGTACCTACATAAATGTACTTACATAAATTTAATGGCTGACGAAATACAGACTAGGTTTGGGGTTTGCTTGGTTTTGGTTTTGTTTTTATCTCCTTCTCCATTGTCACAAGATTAAGTATACCAGCCTACTGAGTTTGGAAACTATAATTATTTAGGCCAAAAATAAGTCAGTAAAGAGATTTTGACAATTAATGAAGTAATCCAAGCTACATTCTGAAAAGTAAGGTACTTAGGATCCAGTTAAACCAACTGTGTTCAGAGATTATTTGAAGTTTGCCCAAGTTTTAAATCTAGACCAAAGCTAATTTGCTCCTTTTAGATCTTGGATAACAAAGTGTGTTGTCTGCATTGTTAGAATATTTTTTTTCCAAAACCACTTATTTTAAGTGTTATTATTTTTAATGAGAAATATATTAACAACTCTAAAAATGAGTTGTATACTAAAATTTCATGTTTTACAGAGCTCTTAAATATTTAATGTGCTTTAGACTTTATAGAGCACAGTTTCTGCATAGTATCAAAATAATTAATAAAATTCTGTCTCTTGCTTGTAGATCAGGCCTCAGGAGATGACAGAATCCTGTTTTTGGGTTAAGGCAGAAGAAGACAAGTATGAGAATGCTGACATGCTTTGCAAATTGGAACTTACGTTTTGTTGTCAAAAAAGAGGTAAGTACCTGATGGATTTGATTTTCAGCTTTTGGAGATACCTTTAACATTCTTGGGACTCAAATAAATATATGAAAAAACCGTCAGAATATAATATTCATGTTCTTGTTTCTAAATGGGATGTATGAAGAAAAATATCTGAAAATTCTGGACTGCTTAAAGCAGTAATATTGAACTATTTTACATAAGCATGACGAAAATCGTGTGACCTGTAGGAAAATCTCACAGAAAAAAAATGCCAAAAATTCTTCTGGATAATACAGATTTTATTTATCATGTTTAAAAAAATATGTATAAAATTTTATCAGAATGCCTTCCTCAATTACTGAAATCTAATCTGTGGCCCAGAAGGTGATGTGTTTACCCTCAGAATGGATATGATAGTTGATGTGTGTTGGATCCATGATGGATGATAGTCTTTCAGTGATTATTTTTTTACTTCCTGATAAACCGGTAGATACATGTCCTTTGATATTTGCTTAGCTTTTTTAGCTTTTAAGACATTGTGAAGAAACAAAATATTTGAAAGTATTCCTGGCTTTAAAACTTTTCTCCTTTCTGTAGCAGTAAGTCACAGTAGTAGTAGTAGTAGTAGTAGTAGTTTAGGTTATTCTGTCCCATATATAAAATGCCTGTTACTTCCTGACACTTTTTTTTTCTTCCTCCTTTTTTGATATCAGAAACATAGTACTTTAGAGCAGCCAAAGGGCTGTAATTTTTCTGCAAATTGAACAGGGGTTATTGTATTTTTACTTTGTTTTCAAAATTCTATTTTGATATTTTTGTTAATAGAATGACATGGCATTCTCAAATGTCTCCTTTTTGGGGGTATGATTTGGTGTGTATTATCCAATTTTTTTTTACCTTAACCAAGAACTTTATTCCACTCTTGTCAAAGCATGATTTTTATGCCTTAGCAGTGTTTCAACTGATTTAAATATTATAGCTTGTTGCTACTGATACCTAATAATATTAAGAATGTCGTACAAAGATAAAAAGGCAAGAAAACCTCACCATAGACACATTTGCTTGAATCTATTAAAATAAGTCTAGAAGCTAATTATGATGCCTTTTTAATGTTAGGAGAATTCCCAAGAATATTCCCTGAATTAATAGGTTGGAAGTTTTAAAAGCCACTGGAGGAAATAATTTCCTATGTGTAATTAAACAGTAAAATTTGGGAGACAAGATGATGTTCAGGCCAAGCATTTTAATGCCTCAGAAGAGGATTGTGAGTCTCCACAGACAGCAAGAACATTAGAGTTAACAAGATTAACATCCCTCAGTATTTAACGGAATGGACTGAATACATTGTTTTGACAAAACCCAATAGAAGAGAGTTTCTGGATCTACAGTTGCAAAGTCAGTGAAGTACACTTTTATACCAAACCTGTGTGTGTGTGTGTGTGTGTGTGTGTGGCAATTTAAAGCCTGTGGTCTCCAGAGACAAATTTATTTCTTTTTTACAGGTGAGGCTTACTGCTTAATCATTTTAGTTTTAAGTTTTGAAATCTCTCTAATCCCACATGGCTGATATAAGTGTGCCATCATCTTAACTTTTCAAAGGAAGTGGAGACATTAAAGATTTTATTTAGAACAGCAAGTAGGTGTTTAAAGGGCAACGTGGAACTAAATTTCATCTTTGTTCAAATGAGTGATTTACAGAACTTTACATAAAAGATTAAGTGTGTTAGTAGGCAGGACCAGATCTCAAGGTCCCTTGTTGACAGCATGAATTCCAGAACAGAGGACAGCAAAGCAACTGCTTTTGTTCTTATGACCATGGAGACAGGGGATACTTCTTTGTAGCTTATACTTCATTTACTGATTATAACAAAACTTACCAAAGAAATTAGATACATACAGCTTTCTTCATGGTCTTGAGGAGATTTAACATTCAGTTTTCTTCACAGTCTTGAGGAGATTTAACAACAGGCTCTTTAAAGTAGAATCAGCAAGCTATTCACTACACTCAAATTTGGAACAGTCCTTAACTATTTCTAAAGCTTTGTCTAAAACCAGAAAGAAGAGAAATTGAAAATGATTCTGTAGCTAAATTATGCCATGCAAAGAATGAACTGGATTCCACTCTGCTGAAGGGTCTGCTTATGCACTCTTTTCATTAAAATCTTTGCATAAGAAGAGGTATCTGGTAGAGGAAGCAGGGATCAGAATGTTCAATGATGCTTTAAGTGAATTTTGTTATCATTAAGTAAAATCAAACTGAGATACTCAAATATTCAGTTGCTGCATTTTGCCAGCTAATATGCCAAAAGTATATCAGCATTGATCTAGAAAAGGAAGTCTTATGTCTATGTAAATAATCCACTGGGGAATTTTTGCTAGAAAAAAGAATAGAGAACAGTATAGAATACATTTGAACATTGAGCAGATGTACAGGAGTTATAAAATATGTTGATTCTGAAGGGGCATTGAAGCAATTGAAAAACTGAAGCTATTATGGAGGTACAAAATACTGTTGCAAGAATAAAGAAGTAAAAGAGGGCCTAGCTTCAGACTGTAGGAAACCTTTGTTGAGTATATCCAGGGATATTGCGGAGACATGAACCATGGGTGAAAATCCTGGAGGTCATCTGAAAGTGATAATAGCTTTTTGTAAAGGGACCAGCCTAGTTCATCTTGTTAAGGACTTTCTCCAGCTGAGTTTGAGGTATTTCTCAAGATGGAGATGTAGGGATGGACAGTCTGTTCCCATGTTTATCATTGTGGTGAATTTTTTTTTCCATAATATCTTTTGGGATATATTGTCTTGAAACTTTTGCATATTTCCTCTTGCTTGTTGTGCACCTCCAAGAATTCTGATTGCCTCTTATTTCCAGCCTTTTGTCAAGTAATTTTTTTGTCATCAGTAAGTTTTCCCTTATTTATTATCCTTCTCAAGACTGATGACTTTTTCAACTTTTCTGTCTGCATCTTTATGTTTCAGCCCTCTAATCATATTGATGATTTTCTGCTCTACTCATTTCAAAGTACCTATACTTTTTTTGAGGTGGAGAAACCCCTACAAAATACTCTAGATACTTCTCCCTGAGAGTGGGGAAGTATCTCCCTGAGAAGGGGAGTAGAGGGAAATAACTACTTCTTTGACTTGCTGCTGGCAGCAGTCTTGGTACTTCACTGGAGGAAGTGTTTTCACTGTGCTGCTTGCTGATGGTGATTATGGAAAGTCTGCACAGACTATGGATAATATAGAGTATTTTCTTTTGTGTGTTATAAAACTGGTTTTTTCACTTTTCAGAAGTTGAATAATTTTGTGAAAGCAACATGTTTTATAACAATAAAACCTTGAGATGAACACTGAGAAGTATCAAAGCATCACTTGTTGATGGTATTCTGGTGCAACTTACTGAAGATGAAATGTCATTTTTTTTATTGATTTAGAATTTAGTCAAGGGCATAATGGTAAACCAACTCCTTTGTCACAAAAGCCGGAGCAAGAGGACTCCATGTGTGTCAGTGCATGAGTGTGAGCTTTAGGTCGTTGCTCCTGTCCATGTTGTGGTGATATCCCCGACTGATACAGTGAACCTCTCACCTGTGAAATGTCACTGGATTGTCTTCGTGGTTACCCTTGTTGTGGGTTTGTTTTGGCCATTGGTTTTGGTTGTGAGTTGGTTACCTGAGTAGAGTTGGTTTTGTGTACCTCTGACAGGTATTCTCTGGCTGGGGGGAAAGAAAAGTAATTGACAAGTTCTGAAAATAAGGTGATGAATGTGAATGGCTTGCATGAGTGATCTTTGGTTATCTGATACATTTTAATGGCAAAAAGAAGGATTGGTATGAAGGGTAGTTGGAAGAGACATGAAAGAGAAAGAAATGAAATATGAAGAGTTTAAGAATTACCCACCAGGGTTATCCTCATGATCTCAGACCAGTGAAGAAATTCTGTGTAAAGCCTTTCCGGCAACAATGGTTTTAAAGGAATCTCTTACTATGATTTTTGGAAAACATTTAACTAAATGCTTAAAGTGACTTAAAGTTAATTGACATGTGAGATACTGAATAGCAGAGCTGGAGCTTACATGTGCTTTTATATTATTTAATCCTAAGAGATAAGATGAACAAACACAAGTGCTCATTATTGAATGTCAGATGCTATGTAATGCACTGGTAGCCTGATGGAAGAATAATCACTGGTCTGTAAAGCTAACATGCTGCTAACTTTGCTGGAATTATTAGATGTACAGGCAGGGGAGTGACACTTTGCATAAAAGATAGCATGAGCTCTAGAATCATGGAAATCTTGTGGGTTAAAAGGAACCTGTACAAAACCTTTTGAATAGAAATTCCTTCTAATAATAATTTTTTGTATTATTAGCTCTTGGATCATAACATGTGTATGATGAGAAAATGATAAGATTAGAGAAGCTGAATATTTTGTTATAATAAAGTGGGAGATTTAACTATATCCAAGATTTGAGTAAACTTTGTATTGTAATACAGAAAAATTGCCAGTGGCTAAAGCTATGGGGTAAAAAACTGCATGTGTCTTGATAGGGTAGTTCAAGGTAGTATTGCAAGAAGAAAATGAGCATTAAAAATGTAAAAGTATGAAGATAATGGAAAAACTCATTAAATGTATCTAGATAAATATAAACAGGATGTTCTTCACTTATTCATTGTGAATCTTGAATTTCTTGCAAAGGAAGCCTTTGCTAATTACCCTAATTAGCCTTCAGCTAATTTTGAAATGTGTATTTAATTTTTTGTAAATGAAGCTATCTAGGGAATTGGTAGGACCACTTGGAGACAACTTCAAAAGTTCAGTAGGTTCAAGGAATGTTAGAAAGATTCAGGGATAAATGGTCCAAAAGAAATAGGAAAGGATATAATTGTAGGAGGGAATCTTTCTCTTTTGCTAAGTGAGGAGAATGGATTATAAGATGTGGTAAGGCTGGCATAATGTCTTTTCTACGAACCTCTCTTATTACAGTTCTTGTTTTTATATAATTGATAGGAGTGCCAGGTTGCTTGGAGTG